GCATTTAAATCTATAGGTTGTTCTGGAGTTACCATGGGCTGTTTGGGAATGTAAGCTATACAAACTTCCAGCAAATAAGCAAAATTGAGACTCAAACTGGTGATTGGAGAACAACATGAACCCAGCCTACAGCACAATCAAAACCATTAGAGGCCAAAGGCAACTTGTTTGTCAGAGCTGCCCTATACTCAAGCCTTTTAGACCTGTATTTGTTGAAACACCTTAAAACAACATTTAAGCTTTGCTGTTTTATGGCAGAAACCTGGGCAAGTCGCATCCTCGACTATCTTCTATGTTTCCTTTGATGAAGTAAAAATGACAATTCGAACAAGATTGTCAACTAAAAGTCTGCAAAAAAGCAATTCCTTATTCAAGAGTACTTAAGGCTTTTATACAGTTTACAGGATTCAGGGGGGTTGGGTCTTTGTATCAAGACTACGCTCTGACCTCTCTTTTCTTCTGCATTCAAAACCAAATGTCACCCTGCCCAGGATTATCCGAATCTGCTTTTCAGTATCAAGACCAATTAACCGGTGAGAAGGAAAGCTGTGGGGAAACAAGGCAAATCCAAAATGAGATGAGGCTTCAGTCTCTACTCTAGTCTCCACTTGTATTTATTCTGGTTTCCAGCAGGCTTCTTTTGGCAAAGAGAGATTTACTGCTTGAGCTTTGGCACAGTGTTTCAGACAGGGAGGAGAGCTGGGACAGGAGACCACACTGTAAGAAAATGTACCTCGCACTCGGTTTTCATTAAACAAAAAGATTTCTCCATTGCCTTTGAATGACCTCTTTCGTGTCATGATGGCTTTGCAAGATGAAATGCCTTCTGTCCTATCTGTGTTGCTGTTGTTCACAAGAATCCTGGAGGCAGATAAATATATGTTTTAGTCTGTGTACGAATTAACATTTTAGTTTTAGTACATCCTACCCCATAATTATACTGAATTGGTTTTGGAGAGTCTGAAAGCCTACCTGCTTCCCAAATATAATGGCTTTGGCTTCAAATAAATGACAGGACAACAGTGACACTGAAATCATCCAGAGCAGAGAGCAGCCAGGACCAATTCTACGTATCACCAGGTTTTGAAATTTTGCTCTGGTATTTGATGATTTCTTACCCTAACAGAAAACACTTCTGTTTGTGTCACCTTTATTTTTCTAGAAGCTAAACCTTGCTCTTGGAGAAAACAGGTTGTAGGATCAAAAGATCTAGAAAACCAGCCTTGTTATTCTGTGTCTGCATTTCTATCATCTTCAGGCTCTAATTCAGCTGTGCTGTACATGTTAAACTGCAAATTCAGAAGGAATAGTTCAGTTTGACTTTTGGCTTTCAGATCCGCAGAATTTTCTTCCTAGCCAGCGAGTTCATTTAAACACCTGTCTGCAGCTCCGCCTACTCTGTACTCCTACTTTTCCCATTGTCCATGGTATCTTTGATGAATACATGAGTGCAGCAAGACTGGGTTGAGGAATGCACAGCCTAAACTGGAGTATGGTTTTAGTTCAAAAAAATAAACCCAGAGAATGTCCTGTTCTTGCCTTTGGGGTAGGATACCACACACACTCTGTCTTACCAGAAAAGGAAGTATTGGGAAATTTTGTTTCCTAGAAGAGCTATTAGAAACAGCAATAAAACTCAAACCAACACAAAAAGAAAAGCCTGTTTTGTAACTTTGACACTCTGTTGTGCTGCTCTTTCTCCTTACTATTTGGTTCATAGCCAGCACAGCCATGAGGGTGGGTAAAGTGTCACTGAGACTGGTGGATGCAACCTCTGTCCTTCACTCAGAGCAGGAAAACCACTTGAGCACAAACCAGAAGTGACTTCCACACAAAACACAGGCACGAGATCCCACCAGAGCAGAGCCATGAGCAGAGCTATGGAATTTGATCAGAATGAGAGACTTGGGTTTCCTTTAGCAGGGTCTGTAGTCTGTGACAGTGGTCGAGTCACTGCCAGCACATGTGAGCATTGTGCAGCTCTAGAGAGGAGCAGAGCTGGCTCTCCCTGTGCCAGGAGCAGTGCCCTGGTCCAGGAGCTGTGCTGGACCTCCCAGCAGGTGCCCCCAGGTGAGTCTCCTTCAGGCTGTGCTGCGGTGCTTGGTCACAGGGGTGAATTAGTGACATCAGTGTGAGTTGATCTGCAACCAGCAAAGACCTGAGAATGTCAGAAATTCCCATTTCCACCACGGAGAAAGGCTGATTTGCTACCGTGGCATGGTGAAAATCAGGCATATTAGGATTTCCCTTCTCAGTGCAGGGGGATCTCACTGACTCCTCTGCCATGGTGGGAGATGGAACCTTTCCTGAGCACTTAGCAGCCGGCAGTGGATCACGGGCACTCTCTGGCAGGCACCAGGCAGCTGAGCCCTGCTTGCCTGCAGCTACCACTGACTGCTCCTTGATTTAACCACACCTGTGGGAGCAAAGGAAAGAGCTCAGCCAGTTGTTAGGATACTTAGGGAATCCCATAGGACATTTCCACAAAATTGACAACTGTGCTAGTAAGTACATTTTTGTGTCTGCTTGAGGGACTGAAATGTCTAAGTTATTATCTGCAGTAGGGACTTCAGGCTTAATAGGCTCAGAGTGCTTGTGCAGGCCATACAATCAATGGGAAGGGGCATGTAGTGTCAGCCTGCAAGATTTGTTGTGAACAGGATTGCAGAATAATCATATTTGGAATGCCTCCATGGATTTTAAAGATGGTGAGCCCTTTCCTTTAACTGTGTGGGCTATTCAAATTCCTGGCTTCACTGGCTTCTGTAACTTCATTGCCTATGCAACTGGTCTATAGCATTTGCTTAGAGGATTAATAATATTTTTTTTAAAGCATCATTTTTTTTCTGATGGATGAAAATACAAGCACCTGTATAATTTCACAAAATGTTATTTTATTGTCAGAAAAGTGCCACTGATGCATATGGTAACTGAAATGCAAGCAGTAGCAGTAGTATCACTGCAGAGCCACTAAGTTAAGGCATTAAAATAAAGAATGAGGGAAAGTATAGCCATGACCTTGTAAGTGAATGCTCTTCATCATAGGCAAGATTGCTTAGCAGCCATGGGGGACAGGGTGGCCTCCCACAGCTTCCTGCTTCCCAGAATGGGTTGGAGGGTGTCCCATCTCCAGCTGTGACAGGAGCTTCCAGTGGCACTATGTCCATCAGGACATGCTCACAGGAATTCGGAGGAGCACAACAGCAGCTCTGGTGGTGTCTCCTCTCCAGCCAGGTTTTTTTCTTCATAATGGCTTCAAACTGCCATGAGAGTGTGCTGGTTTTAGCTAAGCCATTCTTTGCTACTGTGGGCATTTTTCTACAAGCTCTGCAGAGAAATGGAGCCCTTTGGCTGCCAACTTTTGATGACCAAATGGCTCTCCTGTTTCCCATACTTCAGCAAAGCCTTGAGGAGTTTCCCAAACAGCCTCCCCTCTTCTCAACCCCTTCCCCTCTCACTTCCCTTCTCACAAAGATATTGGGATGGAGACAGAGCTGTCAGTGCTGGAGCCTGAGATGTGCCTCAGAGACAGCACTGCCCACTACAGGATGGTCTTCTCCATCAGCAGTGTGAGAGCGTGCAGATATTCTAAGTCAAAATTCCTACTCATCCCTTGACAGGAAATGTAGAGTCCAGTCCCTGACCTTTGCCAAGCCACTCTGAGGCCTTGACTTCTGTCTGCTGCTGCAGGAACCTCAGAGCCTTGCCTGGCCTCTTTCTGGAGCAATGGCCTAAAATCTTGTCCTTACATTCAAATCCCAAGATTTCTTCTTTCCTATCTCCCCCACAGCTAGGAGGTCTTTAGCACAGGCCCAGCGAGATGTATGAGAAAGAAACCTGGCAAAAGGTTTAAATTAACTCTAGTGGTTGTGCCAACTCCTGCAGAACGAGCGTGCCAAGATCCAAACATGGCTGTTCACCAGCATTTGGCAAGGCAGTGACATCTTGTCACCGCTATCCTGGAGCACTGTGGCCCACACAGGTACAACGACCAGCTGGCTGGGGCACGATGCAAAGCAGGGTGGGAAAGCAGAGGGAAGAGTGCCAGACTTTTCCCAAACGAAGTCAGAGCCCCGTTTCTTCAAATCATCTACTCAAATGTGACATTGTTCCTGATTGCCAACAGAATCAAGCCTCCACAGCTACTTCCCAGTTACACTGATGTGTCACATGGGTTCAAGCTTCCCTGTCTGGGTAGCCCAGTCTGTGCTGGTAAAAAAGAGTGCACATAAACCCTCAGCACCAGAGAGAACGACTCACTTTCAGTGAAGATTGCTCCTGCCACAGAAAGCTGCAAGAGTGCTCTGGAGCTAAGTTCTGACTGTTGGGAAGGTGCCTAGAGCTGGAGGGAAAAAACCTCCAACATAAAATAGGAAGTCTGTTTTTACACTTAATTCCTCCTGAGTCCAGAGTTTTACATTTTCATTATAAAGAAGCTATAAAACATCTACATAGTGGAATCCATATTCCCAGATGGGAACAACCTACAGGTCCACTCTAGTCAACCTTCTCTTTGAAAGTATTCCCATGCTAGAGAGGTCTGTGAACAGTTCCTGGGCACTTGTGTCACACTCTGTGTTACTCACAGCCCAGTGCCACTCTGCTGTCTTCTCTCACACACAGGGATGGCCAGACCTTTGATTTGAGAAACTGCTGCAGGGCATCAGTTCTCCATCCAGATCATGCACATGCATTGTACTCATGCTCCTTTACCTGTCTGAAATTTTTTTCCATTGCCAAAGATTTCCAAGCCCTTCCAGTGCCTCCCCTTCTTTATGAAATGCAGGGGTCCTGTGCTACTCTGTAGTTGTTGGATACATTGCACCTGTCTGCAGCTTTTACACAGGTGAGAATTCACTGCAACTTCCTACACCACTTGGAGTTTAGTGCTGTGGCTTAGCTTTATCCCAAGGTTTAAGTTTGGTATCAGGCTTGGTGATGGCAAAATGATGTTGCCCATCGCCCCAGTATGGTATTTGCATATTAAAAGTACATTTGAATAAAGTGGTTCAAGAGACATTTTATTAGAGCAGCCACAGAAAAGTAAAAAGTCATGTTCCTCTTCAGACACAGTCCAAAGCTTCTATGCAGCTGCCATCAAAGTGGTGTTTCTTCTTCCTCTGTCCATTACTCTCCAGCAGAAATACAACTGCAGGTATGCTTCCAAAGGAGAACATTTCTATTCTGCCATTTCCAGACTCCAAGGAAAATTATGTTTCCGAGTTTAGTTATATAAGAAAAAGGAAACTTGAATTTTATGTGCAAGTGTAAACTTCAACCAAGCAAACTGTTATTTGTATTTTATTTGCTCTATAAAATGTCTAGGAATACAAAGAACTTTTAACTGAATATAAAATTCAACATTTTCTTTCCAGGTGTCCATAGAAATACTAGTTTAGTAGAAAATAAATATAAAACCTGCAAAATACCTTAATTTGGTTTTGTTAAGAAGACCTCTTGTTATGAAAAAGATGGGGGAAAGGGTGAATGAGTTCCTCTTTATTTCAAGCTTGCTGCTTTAATTCCATGTTGCATATGAAACAACAAACAAAATTCTAAGGAATGTAAAAAGTTCCTGTGCCTACAAAAGCCTTAATAATACCACCCTGAGCTGAAGAATAATGGCACTGACATGAAAGGATTTTCATTTCTAAGAAATACCTGGCTAAATCAGAGTTCAGGAATACATGTATTCCACGCTCTTCTGCAGGGCTGATTTGGCACAGACCTACTAACCTGAAATGTGTTTCCTCCTGGGAGACTGAGCTGCAGCAGCTCAGGGCACCCCAGGTGAGACAGTGGGCTGGAGACAGGGTGGTACTTCAGGTCTAGGTGAAAGAGGAGGATCTGCATTAAAGAGAGAATTCCAGGTGTAATGCTGCATTTCATACACTCTTCCAGGCTCACAAGGATGGACTGCAGTCTCCACTAACTACAATCAGGACAAAACCTTGAGAAAATTCTCCACTTAAAAAATGGCCAACCCCATGTTTAATACCCACAGAGCATTAAGGTACAAACCAACTTGCTGCTTCCCAGGTTCTTTATCACTGCATCTTTCTGAGACTTGTATCCTAAAGGTTCATTTTTCCAAATGGCATAATTTTGGCAGAGGATGAGGTCAGTGAACTCCCAGATTATGTACTGCCTATCCCTCCTGCAGCATTACAGGGATATGCAGATGCTCAGCACCTCAGAAATTCAGGCTTGCTATACAGCTAAAGCAAATGTACAGAGCATGAATATTACAATTACCAGAGAATTAAAAAAATCTGTCTGCATTTAAAGTAAAAATAAAACTGGGAAATTTCAAAATTTCCTGAGGTGCTCTTTTTGATCAACTAGAACTCTGGCTTCATTTCAATTTAGACATTTCTTTTATAGTACAATGCAAAATACAAACTACATTGTGAAGAATATAAAAGCTTTTTTTCCAGACGGGAATGCCAGAACATATCCATTGTTTTTTTTTCTCAAGCGTATTCTTTAGCAAGTATGATTTTATGAAGAAGTTAATCATCAGTGGAGCTGTATTGTCCAATGGAAAGGGGGGCTGTTTGGTTTTCATTTTTTTCTAATAGAAATTACATTGTCCTAGAATTTTCCAATTTTAAAATTCTCTAGTTCTACTTGAAATTTCCCATGCTTTTTTACAAAAAATTCAATAATGCCCTTTATCATAATTCATAGTGAATGTGTCTACTCATGGTAAACTATCTAACTTGGGTTCACTCTAGGCTGAATGGTTGTTATATATTTTTTCATGGATTTGTGTACTTAGGCAGGTTTTGAGATGAAATACATATTGGTGCTGATGGATGAAAAACACAAATGAAGTGACATTCTATAAAATTATCAGCTCAGGGGAGATGTTGAAAAGGCAAAGTTCGCTGGTGTGTCAGAGTAAAAGAACTGATGGGTGTGAAGAAGTGATCAGATGGAAGGTTTAAAATGAGAAGGGAAAAAAGAAACTTTTCCCAAAGAAAGAGTAATTAAACTGAACTCATTGTGAACAGCCACAGTGGAACCCAGGGGGGAACTGAACTATACACAGCTGGGATTCCAGACATATATTCAGCTTGAAAAAGCTGCTTCAGAAGTCAGGAAATTCAAAGGTAAGTGTCTCACAACAGAGTTTTTTAGGCATTTTCCTCAAAAAGATACAGAGCTAGATGCTTCTTAATGTGCATTTTTGTTAATAATCTCTTCAATCTAAACTATAAAATGTGCTGTGCAACATGACTGAACAAACATCGCTGTGAGAAGTATTTCCCCCTTGTTTGAGTAATTTGAATTTGTAAGCTAATGTAAGTTTTTGTATTAAATAATGTACTGTGTGCAATTTTCTTTCTTGTAAAGTACTTTGAAGCTTTCAAAGGGCACTCTAGGTTCATAAATAATGTGGTGTTCTTTGCCAGAACTGTAGGGCATTTCTCATAAGTTCTGAATCTTCTTTGCCAGAATTGCAACATGTTACATGGCAAATCCTGCACACAAATGTTCTACATGTGGCAAATACATATTGGTAAAGACCAGAGGCATGGCATTCCTGGATTTCTTAGAGAGAGTGGGGAAGGGAAAGAACTGGGAAGGAATAATGAGGGAGGGAAGAGAAAAAAGTCTGTGCATCTTTAAAAAATTATAAACAACAACGAAAAAACCCACCTCCACTCCCAAAACAACCTGTAACTTGCACTTAATTGTTTTCAAAAACTAAATTGTTTGCTGCATGCAGCACAAACTCACAGGTATCCAGAGCTGGGTCTTTACTTTTCCTTCAGCTATGGAAACCAGGCCTCTATTTCTTTAATAGCTGAAGATTCTTCAATGGTAGATGTTTGTAAGGGTCAGAATACCTGCAATCCCTGCTCCTCTGAGCACTCACTAAGGTAAGTGGAGAGGCTGAGAGCCAGGAATAGCAGCACAGTCTGGATCACCACTATTTAATAGGCTGTGAAAATTAATCCCCTTCTTCAGGCAAAATCGGCATTTCTTATGCCCAAAGCTACAGGGAATTAACCAAGGCCAATGTTTATAAGGAGTGAACTCTGGTCTCTCTGCAACCTCTGCCACAGACAAGGAGGCTCCTACTTCTGGAGCTTGGAAACAAAGGCGTGTAAAGCAGCAATATCCAGAAATACCAATAGGCATTTGGCCACATAGGTTACACTGCTGAAGGATACTAAGACTTTAATGTGTCTTTGGTTACCATTTTCTTGATTAAGTACAAACAAGTAATGTCAACATTCCTCTATAGTTTGGACTGAATTGCTGAAGTAATTAAAAAATCTTACCATTCCCTGCCCTTCACTGAATTTTGAGAAAATGTTGACAACAATTATTAAACACCCAGCAACAACTAGCTAGTTGAAAAGTTACTAAAAGCTACTTAGACCTAATCAGGCCTTAAGCACCAGGATTTGATAAACTTTTATAAAAAGAAACTGGTGTTAAAACTGAACTCCACATTCTGCAATACTAAATGAACGTTTTACTATCTGGTTTCTTTTGAGGTGGCAAGAAACTACAGTAAAACCCTTGCTGTTGCCAGAATTACACTGCTTAGAGAAAAATATCCTGTGGGTTACCATTTGCTGCCATGATTTACAGAGATAAGGCCTGTAGTCTGTGTCAGTTTCATGTGGAAGTTTTGAAGGTAAAAAGCTTTCGGCAGAGCTTGCAAATTTCTGCATTAGTGTCTGTGTTGTTGCAAAGAGGATCAAGTGGTGCTGTGTCACAAGCTTTTCAAGGAAGTTAGCACATTTCTTCAGGTTCATCTCCTGCAAGGTAAGACTCTCCCCTCCGTTGCTTCTGTCTATCCAATAAAAAGCTGATAAACTGTCTAAAAGCAAAACACAAAGTGAGGGGTGAGCACAGAACAGGTTTTCTAGAGAGTAGAGAGTGAGGAGTAACTGAGTGCTACTACTGCAGCTCACAAGGAAAAGCCTTCCCAGGCACTGCTTGATCATTTCTTCTGTCCCTTGTGCCAGTCTGCTCTCAAGAATGGTGACCAGTCGGAGCATATCGAAATGGTAATCTGTGTCAACAAACATGACTTCTACTCCCAGTCCTCCTTCTGCTTTGGGAATGATGCAGCGGGCTATCAGGTGATAAAGCATTTCTGTTTTCCCCGTCCCTTCTGGACCATGGAATTCAATAACATCTCCTGTTCAGAAACAAAGCAGCACGTTGTCAGGTAAGAGCATTTATAGCCTAGAGTTGGTTTTCAGTGTTTTCTGAACCAATACTCACTATTCCAAAAATTGGGGAATGCATTTTATTGGCTGTTAAAATCCTGGTTAGCATCTACCAAAAGATATTTCAGTTTTCAAGAAAGGCTCTAAAATGAAGTTAACCAACTGTGAACAAAGGTTGAAAACCTCTGCCAGCACCATCTAGGAGACTTCCATCAATAAAACGTTGGCAACTGGATTTCATCTGTGTCATTAAGGCAGATGGAGGCAGAAGAGGAAGCCGCTATAAAAAAGTGGCTAAGAAACCATCTACATTATGCAGACACAAATAAGGAAAAACAAAGTAGAGAACAAAACCAAGAATCTTTGACATATTAGAGGTCATTTCACATAGATGTCACATGCTGCATGCCACAAGATTCCTATAGGAATCTGTGACTGAAGAGAAGACCAGAAAGTTTATTTGGCACTTACATTCTACTGTAGTGATAATAATGTGAAACTGCTTCTTTTGACAAGAGAGACTCAGGGATTCCTTCAACTTCAGGCAAAGCCTCTGTCTGAAGCAAAGGATCTCTGTTCATAAAAGGATTCAGCCTAATTACCTCATCCATGTGGGTCATAAAATATATATCATAAAAATTTTAAATGTTAATTAAAAACAGCATTACGCTTCATTAGGAAACCAGTTCTTTTGTTGGATGTGAATGCAAGATACTCTAAAGCCTTATCCAAAGTCTTCTGATGTCTTGTATCAGAGCAAGACTCTAGAAAAAGTTAATTTATTAGCTGCTCTTTATAAATTTCTAATTTTGGGAACTGGATTATTTATTTATTACATTTTGGATTTTATAGGCAGAAGGATAACTACATGCAGTATGGAGAATCACACAACTGTAACTGCAGGAAGATGAGAGATTTCCACAGCCTTGGCAAGTGCAAATGGCATAACAGCTTTCCATAGGGGGACGTGAGAGTAGAGAATTAACTGCAACTTTCCTTAAACATGTTTGTGCCTGCCTGAGTTAACAGGGTTTTTCAAGTCACTGCTCAACTTCCAGAGGATGTCCTCATTCACAAGTGCCTACAACATCAAGATGCAGTTTGGGATGAGGGGAGGAGAATGGTAGGGAAGAAACCAAGCTCTTCTCCCTTTGCAAGTGTTAAAAGCAATTTACACCTGATGTGCCAAGTCTGTCCATTTCAGTGACACTCAGAAACACCATTTCTATGAATTTCTGATACTTTGAAATTTATTTAAAAGTTTGATTGCCTCTCAAGCCCTTACTAAGCTGTTTTGAATGGCTCCCTCACTTCTGAGATGAAAGATAACTACACTTCCCAAGACATGAGTTTTTATTTTCTCTTCCTGTCCAGAGGTCACAGTGCCCTGCTCTGAGACTTGCAGCCAGTGGCTCTGTTGTCACACAGCCTGTGCCAAAGACATAACCACACCCTGGCAGAGTGAGATACCAGCCTGGAAGAACTCCTAGAAGTGCTGGGTAGGTCATTCCCTCATATTTTGTCTCTTGAAATATTTTAGAACAATTGCGTAAGGCAGCTCTTGATAAGGAACAAAGTTTATCTTTTGCCACTGGCTGTGGCACAAAATTTCTGCCACCCTGATTGGCATTTCTGAATCCAGACCAGTAACTGAGTGGGGCCAACAGGCAATAGACTGCTTCACCTGCCTTTAGAGCAAAGTATGACCTGCTGGATTCAAAAATTATTCTTGGAAATAAATATTTCACTTTTTCCATTTGAAGACATTCTAGCAGGATGTCTGTATGCTACAGAATGAGTAACTGGATGAGTTTTTTTTTTATTGGCAGAACTAATAAAACTAATAAAACTTATTTAAGTAAAAATTCTAAGTTGAATTACAAAAATCATTCTCTGAGGTTTTTGTGGTGGTGGTTTATAAATGTGAATAGCAAGACAGCCAAGCACCCCTCAAAGTTTGTTCAACATTGCTGAAAGAGATACACAGCTGCCTTGTAGTTTGACCAAGACACTTGAGTTAGTCTGAAAACAGTAACAGCTTGGACTGCAAGAAAACCTCAAGAGAGCCGGGGATTTCTGTGCCTTCCTGATTATCCAAGAGGCTGCCCACAAGAAGAACGGGTGCAAAACAGGAGCCATTTATAGCAACATCTATAAATGTAGGGTTTCATTGAATTAACAACCAGGCTGTTACAGTAAGATAAGAGGGCAAATTCATTTCTCTGGATTAGAGAAGACAAACCGTGACACAGCAAAGGAGGAAGTGAGGCCAGCGACATTTTCAAGAAGCCTCTGACATGCTGACAATAGGTCACAGAAGAAACTGAGTGATCAGGACTAGCATCATCCATTAATGTCAAAACAACTTTGAAAGGAGGATTAGTAAAAAGATACTGTCACAGGATGAGAACAGGCTGAGAGGGAGAGCAGGAACAGCAATTTAACATTGAAGAAAGTTAATGGGAATTTTTTCTATTAGAATTGGTGTTGGCAGACATTAAACATATCAGTAGATGAATGTTCCATTAGCTTGGCAAAACATGTAGAAGACAAACTAATTGGGTTAATAAAGACTTAAGTTTGTGAAGATTTAACAGATGGAGATGGATGAGCAGGGTGATTTCACATGAAATTGAGCACTGGTGAATTCAAGAGTTAGGTTTTAAGAATTCCTCCAACACACTGCCTGGCTCAGGGCAGCCTGGACTGGCCCATTGTGGGCAGACTAACAATATTCCAGTCCTATGAACGGGCATGCAGGTTAAACTAAATTATACTGAAGAAATGTGACTGTTTATGTAAGATTAATATATTTTTAACTGAAACACCGTGCTCAGTCCTGGTCATCAGTTTGGTGTTATATCTTGAATGAAAAGAGCTTTATTTTTGTCTGTAATCAATCCACCAGCAAATGCTGGTTAAACTATTTTCTGACACTACAGATACAAACAGGCTATTGGAATACTCTGCAAAAACTTTGTGTGTTTCACATTGTAGGCTACCTTGAAGTTCCTGGGCTGGTAATTTACAACACTGTGCAGAAGCTGTCACTAGTATTTATACCATTTGTAAGTGAAGTAGAAAGGCCTAATATTTATTCCAAGTTAATGTTGGGTGTCATGCAATTGGTGAACATCAGAGACTTCCACTGACACCCACACCTTCATGCCAGTGGCACAGGGGAAATATGACCGGCAATAGCAGAAGATTATTTAATGCTTGTGTCACTTTTGCTCCATTGCAGAAGAGCTTAAATGGTATGCAATTAATGTACTTATGTGCTCTTAAATATGCAAGTCGATCATAATTAGAAGCAGTGGTTAGAATATCACATTAATACCTATATTACCTGTCCCTATTTTACAGTACCCTGACATGCAAGTTATAAACACTCAACTAAAATGCAACCTTTGGATAGTTTATTGAAACTTCATATTTGTTTGGTTTAAAATCCATCAGAAAAAAAGAGTAATTTAGGTCTTTGCATTGCTTTAATCACAGCATTTTAGATGAAGAGCTGTTCAGTATTGACTTCATGGGCAACATATTAAAGAATTCCACAGTGACACACTAAAAGTCAAGTTCATGACAAATGAAGAGGTAGGCCTTCAACAGGGATTTAAGTCTGAATAATGAGAACACACATCAAAATAACACATGGGCTCACATGAGTACTGTGGTATTAAAAGACAAAGCAAAAACGTAATAAAAGGTGAAGTCCATTTATATATATACAGCTAAAGAGCTGTGCTAATATGTTAGGCAGCTTCATTAATGTCAGCCAAAAAGCATGACCAGTATGGGTAATAATTGATACCATTTGTTCGAAGCAGAAGAAAAATACAAGTGCTTCAAAAGTTCAATGACTCTGTTGGCACAGAGAAACCAGTGATGAATTTTAGAAGGTTTCCAGCCATCTTAAAACTGAGGTTCTGGAATAGTCTTCAGACAGATATGAACAACCTATAAAGCTTTAAGAGCAAAGCAGATAATTTGACATGAAATTATGTAACACTATGGACTGCAGCAAGGGCAGTCAGAGATCCCCAAGAAGACTTCTTAAAATCTGTTTGACAAGTACATAACCAGTTTAGTCTCAAACATTTGTTGTGTGTAAACTTGACTAAAAAAACCCAAACATCCAGACTAAAAGATCATTTAACATTTATGTTTTGAAAAAAAATACAGTAATATCTCATCTTCTTAAAAAAAAAAAAAAAAAGAATTTAAGAGCATTGTGAAGCATACACCAATTTCACTCCTGGCCCTTAATTCTTCTTGTGAGTAACACAACAGTTCAGAAATGAGAGTATTCAAATATTCTTCTGTGCTCTACTTGCACAGGCTTAGCAGTATTTCTCTGCCCTTTATCATTGTTATGTCACATTGGAAACTTTCAGGGCAGGAATCACATACTGCTAAAGCCCACGTGTGCTCTCTAGTGCTGCAGAACAATACATAAAGGGTCGCACAGTGATTGTGTTTGAAGACTAAGCATCATCTCTCATCCAATTATCCTGATTTTTTTTATTGCTCTTTCTGAACCTTCCGTATTTGTGGGAATTCAAACTGCAGACAAGTGTGCTGCTAACCACTGAAGCCACGTACTTGCCCTATGAAATCCACTCACTCATACACAAACTCCACAGCAGTAGTACCTCACTACTGATTTTTACAGTTTGCCACTCATATGCCTTTTCTCATATATTTTTAGTCTTGTGTAATCAGTTGTCTCTTCCATCATGAAATTCATGAAATTTCACACCATCTGGAAAATCAGTCTGACTTCCTGAATAGTGTGTTAATTGCTGTTTAGTTCACTAATTTCTTTCATTAAAATATCAAACCTCGATCTTAAAATTTCTTGTACTGGTGTCATTGAAAGGTTACCTCACTTCTCCAATCTGAAATTCTCCTTCATTCACTGAAGGTCTCTATGAGTCATGTTGATCCTGACATTGTGAACTCATTCAACTAATTAGTACCTATGTCCATAATGGAATTGTTTATGAAGTTCTATCTAAGCATACTTAGGATTTTTCAAGACTGAATGGCTTGATGACTTGGCTTCATTGAAAAACACTGTTCATGCCCCTTTATCCTAACTGACCCAGACAATTCAGTATCACTGAACTCTTTGCTATTTACTGAACCTCATGTTCTTTGCAAATTTCTGCAGTTATGACTTTGTGGTAGTTGTCTAGACCACTGATTAAAAACAAACAAACAAATAGGTTTAATGACAGACTCTAGAACAAATTGCTGGAAAACTACTGACACTGACCAACGTGCTTGGTATTTGCTCACCTACATCTGTGTTTTGATATGCATAAAGTAGATTTTAAGGCCTATTTAATAATGTTTGGAAGGGTGACGTTGCATTATTCCATTTTACCTAGTTTGCATTGAACTATGGCAACAATTAAAATTCTGATCTAGGGAAAATAATTTACTTGTATGCTTATCTCTGAGAAAACTTTTACATGAACATTTTTCCATAAATGGGATAAAGACACATTTTTACCATGAACAGGAGATCCTTCCTCAGCAAACAGATAAGGTTCAAGATTCTTCAGAGAACTTCTGCCCTCAAGGCGTGCAAGCAGCTTTTAAAGACAAGACAAAGAGCCATGCTGTTAACTTAAAATAATGGACCTCAGGAAACAAATTTAAATTAGGATTCTAACAACTGACAGTTTTCCATGACAGCTCTATTGAAAGATTAGCCTGATTTAAAAAATGTTTTCATAAATACATATGGAAATCTATAGTCTGGACTACAGCAACATAAGGTCCCATCCTTATAAGCACACTGAACCAGTGGCTATGAGGAGAAATAAAGTTTAAAAAGCAAAGGCTGCTCAGGGACATTAGTGAGAGGAATCACCTCCGGTACACAGCAGTGCTGCCATTCCAAAGAACAAAGGGAAAGAACATCATTTGTAACAACCATCACCTCCAAAAAAAAATACTGTCAGAGAGGTGAAACGTTACCCATCATCAATCCCCTGAGCCAGCCTCTCTGAGCATTTATAAGTAAAACCATGTGCATTTCACTTGAAAACTTACACAGGACTCCTCTGGGCTACAATCCTATTATACCATAGTTACTTGTTCAAACAGAGTATGGATTAAGAATGTTCAAAAGTAATTAGTCACCAGTGACTCTGCAAGAACCTTCCTAAAGCAAGCTTGAATTTGTTAAGCAAGTTCTCCAAAGCCCCTCTTAAACTAAGTCCATTGTAAAACTAATTACTTCAAGGATCAAGGACAGTTTCTTAAATTGAGAGGTATTTGCATAGCAAGCAGACAGGTATTCACAAATCTTGTATTATTAGTAGTTCTGGCACACTGTGTAAAGCAAGAGTGAACATTTTCCCTGGTACTAGAGCTGTTATTCCCTACATGTATTAGCACACATGGGAAAGGAAATTATCAGGATGCTCAGCCAAATACTACATCCTCCAAGACACCCAGCTGTCATTTAAAGATCTGAACAAAACAAATCCTGTTCAGTTTTATCCCATCCTCAAGACCAAAAGAGCAATAAGCACACACCTTCAAACTGCTGCCTTATCTTGTTTTCCTCCTTGTCACATCCATGAGCAACATTTGCTCTGAATGATCTTAAAAGTTCTTTGAACAGCTCTGTGTGTGTTCGCCTTTAACAGTAAAATAAAACTCTATTAAATGGCCCTGAATTTACTTAAAGTGGTCACAATGGGAATCTAAGTGTGACATTTTCATTGACATTTTAAGAGTCCCTTCCATTAACAAAATGTCAATGTGTTTGCCTTGGCCTCTTCACACGTGTCCAGGAGTTTTCTGACTCGTCCTCTGAAGGGCCAAAAAACCACTCAAATTGACCTTGCTCTGGATCAGCAGATCCTCCCATTACACTTCACACGTTTGTGCAGCACAGAGAACACACAGCGAACTCCTGGGAACCAGCAGGGTTCCATAATCTGGACAAAGCAAAAATCCAGATGGACATATGCATGTAAGAATACAGGAATGTAACTTGGGGCACATAAACCAGCAGCTCTCAGCTACCAAGAGGGCCTTGGCAGACCCTACATGTGCAGCACTTCTGTGCAAGCATGTGCCAGGTCCACTGGTGAGGAGAGGCTGCACCCACTGGGGAGAAGAACCAGGAATTTCTCATCCCTTCATTGGCAGTGGGAGTTGAGGGAAAGAGGAAAACCACCACAGGCTGCTGCTTTCTGATGCTCTTCACTTCTCAGCAGAGGAAGCACCACTGTGGCACACGGATAACAGGGGCTCAGTGATGGGCACTGCTGCTGGCCTAAGCACATTGCTGCAGCCTCCTGCTCCTAACTGGTACACTAACAAATATATCCTCTGCAGTTTATTTTTGCTGGAGCAGTGAGCCCCTGTCAACTATCAACTCTTTAAGTTTACTGGGAGAGCTCTGGAAACACACAGTAAATGGATTGCTATCATTTAAATACGAATCTGCCGTTATTTAAGTGGCAAGTTTATATATTAATTTTAAATAACTACAGGTGCTTTCTCTGAGCACTGCTCATGTAGGTAATTTATGGTAATTTGCTGATGATAGTGCACCTGTGTTTTTATCAAGCTTGTATTTACTTCCGAGTTCTGAAGCAGAATCTCCAAAGGCACTTGCCTCATTAGTGCCATGCTGGGAGCAACGGGGTTCCTGGCAGAAACAGCCAACAATTTTCCTTCAACTCTCACAAAGGTTTGTCCACACAGCAGCAGAAGTGATGGAAGCAAAGCTGAGATGAGACACTACACAGGTATCCCTCACCTCTGCCCACGTTACAGACAGAGAGAGCACGAGCTGTTCCAAATAAAGCAAGAGCCACCTTGGCTCTGTTCCAGAAGAGGCATTCCCATTTTGCCTCCTCACATGTTCTTCTGGAAAATGGGAAGGGGGAGAAACCTACAGCATGTAAAGGGTAATCTGGAGGGTGGATGTCAGGTATCCCAAGCTTTATCACAATGCACAGAACACAGCAGTAAAGCACCACTGGAGAGAGCCTTGGACTGGGAAGATCTTAGAAAAAAAATCCCAAGTCAATTTCAAATCCCATATTAGAGACTTCAGATTCTATAATCAAAGTATAGGTGCTCATTTCTTCCTCTATAAGCCTCTCTTCATCTTTTTTTACACAAAACACCACCCTTTAGCAACCTACTAGTGGTAGCTCCTCACTCTTAGGTGTTCTTTGAAAATATAATTATGCCAGCAAGAAACTGCATAAATGTGCAGTTACATGTAGAGAACAAGCTCTACAGCAAAAGTTCAGCAGCAGCTGGGTTAAATGTCATTAATGACAAAGCTGATGGGACTCAAATATTCCAGCTATGCCTTTTATAATTTATTATCCTTTTAATAAACAATATGCATATGGACAGTCCCACTAATACATGACATGCTCGTACTCTGTTAGTTTCAACAGAGCTGTGCATCAATGGAAGCACATGCGTAGGCCTTGTCAGGAATGAGAGATTACTTCATTAAAATGTTAAAGAAATTCAAATTAAATACTCCAGCTCTGGTAGAGGCTGTGAGCTAACCTACAGGCTATTTACACATACAAACCTATCTCGAGTACTAGACAAAATTTAATTCTCAACCACTATAACCGCTCTGACTGAGCTTTTGTAAACTTTGGGCATGAAGACATATATATGCAAGCCATTTATCATTATTTTATTGTGATATACCAAAGGTGTTTTGCAAGAAGTTTTAATTTGTTGTATTAATCACATTCAATAATAAAAGCATAATATTGCGCTCTCAGTATAACTCAGTAAAATCTGACTTTATGCATGAGACTATTTAAAGAAGTATTGTTTTAAATTAAGTGTTTTCTGTTTCAAGTGCTTTTACTATTTTTTGTCTGGACACTGTATTCATACATTGACTTTTCTTAACCCATTGGTTGCCAGCTCCTCCCTTGTTCCAGGTTGGATATCCATCCATTCCAGGCAGTTGATGCCATGTGCATTCCCTGTTGGCACCACTCATGTGGACAAATAAATGCATTTACCCCTTGGACAAAGAGCACAGCTCATCTCTTTAATTCGTGTCTATTTGCCAATAGTGGACATCTGGTACTATTTTTTTTCTTTGAAGTGTCAAAACGGCTTAAAAGAGCAAGTCCCACTAAAAACCATATAGGGCTCTAACAATAAATATATATTATCTCACTTTTCTGTTTTATGTAAACTATTCAGCATATTCTGGTACACTTACACACAAATCTCCAAGCAATTAAGTTGCTGATTACAAGTGGAACTTTCTATCAAATAAAACATCCAGAAATGAAAAAAAACCCTAAACTAATGAAACAACACAACAAAATCCTAAAAGTCAAACCTCTTTTCTCCTAAAGAGGAGGAAAGCAATTCCATCTTGCATAATGTTAATTTATAGAATCATAAATTTGGAAGAGTCCTTTAAGATCATCAAGTCCGAACCTTTAAATGAAACCTTCCTCACAGGTATTCCTTAGGCATCCCCTCCAACGCTGGGGAGGGGACCGCGAAGGGAGTATTTATAACATTTATAAAGGAATTATCCAAACACCTGAACCAACCTCTCTCCCCGTGCTGCAAGAAGCGCCCACGGCAGGAGCCCACCCGCACCCCGACACAAAGGCAGAACAGGGACCCAGGAGAGCCTCAGCCCTCCCGGATCCGCGGGAAATCCACCGGGAAAGCCTCGGGGGGCGGAACTCCCTCCCTCCCTCCCTCCCGCACCGCCCCCTCAGGAGGCCCTGCGGGGTTTGCCCCGCGGGGGCGGGAGCCTCGGAGCTCCTCTTGTCCCCCGGCTGCGGCCTCACCCGGCCCTCCCCGCCCGTGTGCCCGGGCCCGGGGCTGAGGGGAGCGGGGCGGGGGCCGCGCCTCACCTGCGTGCCCGACTCCGCCCCGCCGAACGCGTCACCCATGGCGGCCCCGCGCCCGCCGCCGCCACCGCCCCGCAGCGCCCCCGCCCGGCCGCGCCCTCTGCGCCTGCGCGGCTCGGCCCCCCGGCAGCGCGGGGTGGAGCCTGCGGGCTGCGGAGCCGCGGGTTCGAGTCCCGCCTCCGGATCCAGTCACGGCCGCCCACCCGTCCGACCCTAGTAAGCGGCTTGGGGTTCGTTGGACACGGCCGGGAGAATCAAAGGGTGAAATAGGTTGGAAAAGAGCTCTGGGGTCATCGAGTACAATTTATGACGGAACACCACCATGTGAAGCAGACCACAGCTCTGAGTGCCACGTCCAGTCTTTCCTTAAACACCTCCAGGGACGATGACTCCATCACCTCCCTGGGCTGCCCATTCCAGTGTCTGATCACTCCTTCTGAGAATAAATTCTTCCTAGTGTCCAACCTAAACCTCCTCTGGCACCGTTTTCAACCATGGCCTCTCGTCCTGTCCCGAGTTACCTGAGAGAAGACCCTGACCCCCACCTGGAGACAAGCTGTTAATTTATTTTAAGGACTTGTTTTTCTATAGGTGTGTGTGTATGTTTTCTGCTCCTGCTGGAAAGGGGCAGGTGGCTGTGCTGGTGTGACTCAGGGGATGCTCCTTGGTGACACTGTGACTCAAGGGAAGCTCGTTCACGTGGCTGGGATTAAACTCTTGACGCCTGTGAAATTGCTCTTTGCCAAAGCCAGCTATCAATTATGGCTTCAATTAAAAGGGGTATAGAGTATTTTTAATAAGTCCCTGGGCTTGCGTGGTGCGATGCTCTGAGGCAGGAGCTGATGGTCGGTGGCTTGGTCACGTCAGCAGCCGTGTGCCCGTGGCCAGCAGCAGGACCTGCTCCTCCCAGACCACGGCCCGTCCACTGCGCTTGTGCAACCTGGGCAGGCGAGAAGGATGGGCACGGGGAGAACACAAACACAGGAGAACCTGTTTGTTCCTTCCACAGGCTAAATGCAAAACCAGCAGGATAAGAATAGCAGCTCCCAGTATCTGCATATCAAAGAGCAGGAATGATATCCTCCCTTCGGGTCTAGCGAGGTTATCGGTGATACTGCACGTCCTTACAGTTAGGGGGAGAAACTGGTGGTGCAGTTCTCTCTTTCTTCAAAGAAATCATGTTTGTCTATAAAAAAGAGTTTCTACTAGCATGTACCACAATAGAAAATCTAACCTCAGATGCAAGGCATTAGGTTTGTTTACTCTTTCAACCTTCTTTCAGCCCAAAATACATAGCTCCACTATAAAACACAGCACACTGTTGCTGCCACTTGACTAACTCTAGATGGATGCCATTAGATAGATTTAACCCAACTCAAACCTCTAGTTTTGGTGTCCAGTACTAATTCTGCTCATTAAAATACAGAAGGGAGATGGTCATGGCACAGCCTGAATTGTGCTTTTCTTTTTCTGTGTATTGATACACGTGCCAAATTATCAGGAGCATGGTTCTCTGGTGAGAAAGACTTGGATGGCTGTAGGGAGGGCACAAAAATGCAGCCATAATGATTTTGGTTTCATTGTACTGAAGGAAGTTTCTGCTTTGTATTTTGGAAGAAGTCAACATAAAGGACAGACAACTTTAAGAGCTGTGTGTCTGAGTATTCTTACAGTACCTCAGTGGTCTGGGCCACGTTCCCTGGAAGAGTTTAAAAGCTTTGTTAATTAGTAGTGATTGCCCTTGAAGCTCACTGAGGGTGACCTAACCCAAGAGCAGAGTGGACTTGCTGTGATGACAAAGACACCACTCACTGCATCAACCACATGATTTTTTAAAAAATAATTATAGGTTCTTTGTTGCTCTTGTCCTCTAATTAAAGATGTCGCACTAATTTTTAAAAAGTGATTGCTACTTGAATTTAGAGCCATAAAATATACAGCACAGATAAATGCCAGTCGACTGAAGCCCACTCCTACCTCATCACTTAGCATTGTGAGTGTCCCAGTAGGGTTCTGTGGGAGCTCTTCTACTGCATGGCTGAACACAGCTTTGGCATTACCATCTAATGCAAAATGAAGTATCTCAGTTCAATGGAAATCAAGCAACAAATATTTGTTTGAGAGAGAGGGTAACAACACAGAACTCAGCAGCAAAAAAACCCAACAACCCGATATTAAGGATATTTAATAGTTTGAAATAGTACATAATGATTAGAAGTGTGTAAATCAAATACACTGGTCACCTTGATAGGCAGATTGCACATCAGCAGTCACCATTGCTGGCATCTTAACACATTTTGTAATATTTTATCAAAGCTGTCTATTTAGTTCTCATAGTTCATCTTTATTTTTTTGTTTGTTTATTTTTCTCCCTGCATGTTAAACCTCTTCATTGACCTTGCTTCTTAGGAGAAAAACAGTAACATAGGTAAGGAGAGACATTCTTTACCGTTGGTTTCAGCAGAGCAAGAATTTTAATTGCACCCTTTATTTTTTGGGCTTCTGGTGAGCTTATTTATTTATTTATTTATTTATTTGTCATTCTTTCATATTTTCTGTCACGTTTCTGAGTGATAGTGGGTGATCCAGGAGTACAGCATCCTACCCACCCCTTACTCTTCCTTCTTGAACAGCAGAATCCTCCTTAAAGCACTGCAGGTGTAAGTAGCTCGTAGTGTCCAGGGTCTCCATGCCCCAGCACACCTGTTTCTACCTGCTTCTACAGGCAGAAAATTAGTGTTCCTTTGTTTGGCATGAGGGGAGCCTGAGGGGGCCCCTGGAGCCACAGCACTGCTCGTGTAGCAATTCAACAGCAGGAACGAGGACTTTCCTAATAGCAGAAAGATCAGACTCTAGGGGTGAGCATCTCTGTCTTTATGAAATGTGTATTTTGGAGAAAATTCCTCTTTCCTAATCTTGATTTTGAACATCTCTCACACTGGGATCCTGTATTTTCCACTGCATGTGTTTAAGACCTGCATTGTTGCAAGGAAAAATGACAGTGCAAGAAAGGAAGGTATTTAAAGTGGATTTGCAGCCCTGAGCAAAATTATTTTTTATTGTATTGTTAAAAAAATATTTGGTTATTCATACATTCACTATTGTTAATTTCAGCCAACACAAGGAACCTGGGATGTGTTCTGGAGAATGAAGGACTAGCTCAGGTGGCCCAGGGCTGTTGAGAGTCTACTGTAAATATAAACATTTAATTTATTTTTAAGATGCAAAGCCCTAAATTTAAATTGCCAGTTGGTCTACGGTCGTCCCAAGAATTAGATTATTAGACTTTAGATGGCAGTCTAAAGAACTAACACCCTGTTCTGCAGCAAGGCCTGAGGTAAGAGCTTAAACAAAAGGGGGAAAGCATGAAGAAAACCAATATGTTGACAAGAAAGTTACACTGTGTGAGGATGGTTGCAAAAAAACACATCAAACTTTTATATTTAATTAAGAAATAGCTAATTTAGAAACTGAAATGTATGCTTCCTCCTTTGAACGTTTTTTTTCCCAGTCACAGAGATTTTGCTCCAAAATAAGCTTCATAATTTTCAGTGTATTGTCACTTAAATGTTCCCTCACAAGATTTGTGTGGGTGACATTCCAGCACAAACCAGCTCCAAACATATCTTTTAGCTTGAAAACTGTTTGTTCATATAGTTGAACTAAACTCTTTTGGTAAATTGTTGTCTTCCTAATTAATGTCCAGACTCTTAAATACCTTCTTTCCGAGGTGAAAAGTTGACTCTTCCAAAAGTCATTACACAAAAGAATCACTCCCAGAAATAAAACAGAAAGGTTTTGAGTTGAGTCTTACCTTTTGTGTAGTAATGCTCAAACCCCAAAAGGTTTATCAACTAAAGACCATCTCAAAGTTGTAAGCAGACCTAAAAAGGATTAATAATAATAACAACAGAAGTAGTAGTGGTAGTAAGAATTAAGATTTAAAGTATGTGTTGAGTCTCCATGTAGTGAATGCCATCAGATTAGTTGCAACCTCTCTGTTGTGTGACTCCTCCAGTTTCACTGAGGAGCTGATTTCAGCCTCACTGTTCCAAGTTTCTCTCAATGAGTGAAGTGATCTGTCACTGGGTTTTATTAGATTTTTGCTTTTATTTTTTAGAGCAGATGGCCGATTCTTTTTACCTGGAGAGCTGCCACTTTCCTTAGATGCATTTGGGCTTTATGGTAGTCTAATTTATCTGTTTATTTGAGAAATAAATAACCTAAATTGCAAATGTGTTATAATTTCACTGACCTCAGAAAAGCTGATAGATTTGCTGCATAGATTTCCTGAATTTTTATTGAAAAAATAAAAACCACCCCACAAAGAGAAAATAATTTAATCCACTGGTAGCTGGACTGCTAGGCATGAAAAAGCAAGTCCAGGTCTTTATTAATTCTGGCATCTGTGATCATAGAATCATAACATGGTTTGGGTTGGAAGGGACCTTTAAGCTCATCTAGTTCTTGTCCCTTGCCATGGGCAGGGAACCTTCCACCTCTGTTGCTCAGAGCACAATCCAACCTGGCCTGGAATAGTTTCATGGCCAGTTCCTGGATATTCTGCTTTACCTTTCAGCTTGCAGCCATACATCAGAAATAAACTTGCTCTGTGCAGCTATTCACCTGTATTTCTATCTAGGTTTCTTATTTGCCTTTTGCTTGTATTCCTGAGCTGGAATT